AAAAAGTGTCAACATTTAAGTTGGTGAGTTCATAAGAGTTTAAATGAAAATTGTAAACCTTTTCGTGAAAAGATATCATGCTTGTTTCCAGAAAATCCGATATTTTCTAATAAATGATATGTAAGCCGTTTACTTGTAAAATGATAGTGGTTATCCCAAAAAATCCAATATTTTCCGTAGAAATAAGTTGTAGTCTTAAAGGTTCCAAGAGCAAAATGTATCAGTGTTTTCCGTACTTAGAGTAGTAATATGTAGTTTTATTCATGTATAAAACTATTTGAAGAAAAGTTTTTTCGTGTAAAATGTACGTATAGTCGTTTCCCCATGTGAGTTTTCATAACCATGCTTTTAAGATGCAGTGCCTGCCTCGCCGTTCTTCAGGCGCCAAGTTATTTATGACATTTGTCACACATTACCTGCCGGTCTGACTGTATCTAGTAGTCAGGGTGTGGGATCATCAGTCTCGTATGGATCTATACGCAAGTATCACACTCTCGTATCGGAGATTCGGTTATAAATACAGGACTTTCTGTATACCTCAGTTAGGTACGATGAAGACAGTGTCTCACAAATTCACTCAACGAGTGTACGTGTTTTTGAAATGTAAACGTTTGTAACTGACGTTATCCCATATTTACAGGATAACGTCGAAAGTGTCGTAAAACAACGATATATGTATTTTATATCGTTTTTACCCTTTGCTCAACAGGTTACAAAGGGGTAAAGTTTTGTAAACTATATTCGTAAAGTTTCGATAAAATGAACGTTTTGTATTTGAAATATATATATATATATATATATATATATATATATATATATATATATATACGAATAATGTAATGATTATTAAAATGTTGTTCGTGAAATCACACGCGATTGATAGTAAAACCATTTCGTGTTTTGAACGTTTTCGTAAAATAGTATAGTAACGTATTCAAAATGTTCGCGTTATAACGAAAATATTATTGTGTGTTACTTGTATCCCCCCCCCCCCTAAAAACATAGAAAAAATCTTGAAAATGTAGGGGTATGAACTCACCTTATGTGTAGTTGCGGTTTGATAACGAGGTGACGATGATGATCTTTACGTTAGAATACTCGGAAATTATTCCTAATCGTTTTTAACACATACAAATGTGTAAATAAAATGAAATAATAATAAGAAGAATGTATAACACTATGATATTAAGAGGACTTACCAAAATGCTAAGGAACGAGTCTAAAAAATGAAGCTCCAGGGAAGTTTGATTCTTGAGTTTTTAGAGGAAATGAATGTTCGATACTTGAGAGAGAATTGGAAGTGAATGGTGTTTAACTGAGAAGTGTTTGGAGGAAGCTTTGGACGTGAATTTATATGGTAAATAAAAGGGTAAGGTGAATTGACAGTGAAGTGATATTTACCTGGGTAAGAGCACTTATCACCTTGGGAAGCTAAATTTGACCAATCAAGTTGCACCACTTGGCCACTTTATGGATGATTACGACCAAATAGAGGAGATTTCGACCAAGCATGACCGAAATCTCACATTCTCATTTACTAGAAAGTGATTTCGGTCCTAATGGACCTCAAAGAAGGGATTTCGGTCTAAAGTGGTGGGGATTTTGGCCTTAGTGGGCTTTAGCCTTTGTGATTTCGGTCCTATACATGTTCCAAGAGGGTGTTTTCGGTTCTAGGTGATCTCCATGAAGAGATTTCGGTCCTAGATGGCCGTAAACTCAAAGGTAGTGGATTCCAGATTGAAGATACTCTAATAATGTGGTTCCTTTATCTCTTGTTGACCCCTTTGACTCCTTAAGTCTTGTTAGTTTGTATCTACTTATTTTCTCATGGATTTCAATATGTAACATGTATATATAACTCATATAAACATGGATTTCAATTTATTTTAACATATATAAATATGCCCTCAAGGCTAATTGATTTAACGTAACCAGTTTACAATGTGGTTTTCACTTATACATGGTTCATCAGTTGACTTGGTTTGGCTCTAAATTTTCCAGTTGTCACAAGTGATGTCATTATTTTTCAATAAAATGTCTAATTTTACGTATTAATATCGGATAAATTACACGAACGGTCCCTATGGTTTGGGGTAATCTGTGTGTTTGGTCCCTAAATCTTTCAATAAAATGATAAAATTTTATTTTGTTAATTCTTTTTTTTATTTATTTCAACTATTATTTAATAAAATTAATTATAAACAATTGTAGTGTACCCACCTAGCTTAATCTCTTTCTCTTCCCCCACTGGACAAAGACTATTGAGTTTCCCGAAAATAGCTCCGGTCACCATCTCCGGCCACATATTTGGTACCAAAGAAATCACCCTAAACTCAACACAGACGACCTAATATTCAACCAAAATCAAATATGAAATTCAAATCTAGATCCAAAGTCGAAACCCGAGAATCAAATATAAATCCAAAATCAAGTATGTAGCTCAAAATCAAATCCAAAATCCAAAATATCTTAGGCAAAAACTTCAGATATAATCCAGATGCAAAAATCCCTAATATAACACCATATTCAAATCGATTAAGTAAAAACAAACCTAGAAAATCAATATACAAAAAATTATATAGAGACGTGGAGGTACAAGTCATCAAATCTTGTAGGTCTTCAAATATTCAACCAAAAACAAACCTGCAAGTCGGACCTAGCCTCCATAGTTAGTAAACAATTTGCAGAGAGAAATAAAGGAAAGGTTGAGGTTATTTCAATTTTGGTTGCATAAGGTGCTTAATCTTGTAGGTATTTAAATCAAGCAAGCTTCAAGTGACGTTTATGGTGGTGTTTTGGTGTTGTGATCAGTAGTCGGAGTCGTCCTAATTACTTCCAAGAGTCGTCATAATTTCATCCCGTGGGTATTGGAGGTTCAAGGCTCATCAGATGATAGAGGAGGTAGAGGTACATGTCATCAATTAAGGGTTTTCACCGGAGTAGAGAGGCAAGGGAATAGGGAAAATATTGAAGGATCTTGTATGCTCAAGAATCATATTAAAGTGATTTATCTAATTAACATATGATACTAATGTGTCATACTAACAACAACTTGATATAATTGATTATTTATTAGAAATTAATTTTAATAAATATTCAATAAACTCTTATAATTAAATCGGAAATTATTTATTTCTTGGAAGTAATAATTTTCATTAGCAAGTAATAATATATAATTCATAAGGTATGAATTAATAAGTCATGTACACCATTTGTGGACTAGATAATTTCTTTTGTCTTTTACCAAAAAGTCAAAGTTTATATTTTATAAACATGGTTTATAAAATTGAGACTTTTCTCTTCCTTTTTATAAGGTATGGTCGAAATATTCTTGAAGAGACAAGAACATGGTGTTTTGACTTATTTAATCAAAAGTAATATGAAGCATGGGGAACCATCTAGTTTGTAGGTGCATAGGTGTTTAATGGTTAAAGACCTATAAGTATTGTGTATACTATACATGAGAGTGAGGCTTTCATTCATTTGTCTTAATCCTCTCTAGAACCGTAACATGCATATGTGCATGGGTTCTCTCTCTATTTGTTTATTCTTTTGAAGTATACATGCATCTTATGCTCTCTTTATGATTCTTATTTTGATAAGAACATAAAGCTTAAGAGATTACGAATTTTTTTACAAGACTAGCATCTTAAATCAAGTTGACAACTTGTTGGTGTCTCTAAAGTTCGTCATTCTTCATTAACTTCCAAGCCTCCCAAGAGGATCCAAAGAACTACAAAGGTTGTAATTTATCCATCTTCTTCTTTGGTTGGTGTTTAATCTTTCTACACTTTGCAAAATGATCATTGGTAGGTTATAAACTTGTTTTATGTTATTCAAATTATCAAGTCTTCCATTGCCAAAATATCATGTTTTTGAAACTAGTTTTTGAATAAAAAAACAAAGATATGAAGTTTTTCGGGATATTCTTTATTTTTTTTTTCTAGATTTAAACCCTAGATAACTGATTTCTCTTGCAATATTTTTCAAAGATGGAGAAGATGATCAGACCAGAAGGAGGCAATGGAGAAAAGGGAAGGGTTATGCGGGTTTCCGACAAAGGGAGCAGAGTTTCTGACGATGTGTGTGTTTTAGGGCAAGACATGGAAAATGTTACGTAGGTTTGTAGCAAAAGGAATTGAGGGGGGGGGGGAGAGAGAGAGAGAGAGAGAGAGAGAGAGAGAGAGAGAGAGAGAGAGAGAGAGAGGAGTGTGTGTAGGTGGTGGCAGATGAATTCGTTGATAGGTTTGGAGTAAAAAGAAGATGATAGTAAATGTGAAGGTGAAGGGTGGGAGTGCGATCCATTGTTTTTAATAAACATTTTTTGGGTAGGAAAATAACAAATAAAGAATAAAGAAATTAAAAAAGAAATAAAAAGGGTATTTTAGTCTTATATATGTGAGGGACCAACACGCAACAAAATTACATTCTAGGGACCGTCCGAGTTAAAAAAAATTTAGGGACCAAGCGCGCAGATTACCCCAAACCACATTTACCGTTCGTGTAATTTACTTTTAATAACGTATATAGATCACATTACTGTATTTGTTTAATTTTTTTGACAGATTTAAGTAAAAAACGATTTTTTTTTTTGAAATTTTGGACCTGTTCTTGAATTTCAAGAGTTGTTTTTTTTTTTTTCGAAATCTGAAATTTCAGTCCGGAATCCGAAATATCTATCTGAAATGTACTTTTTTGTTAGAAAAAATAATTTTCTTAGCCTGAAATACCTTTTTCCGAACCAAATAGTTATTTTTGATAAAAACAAATTTTATAAATACCCGTTAAAATGTGATTAAATTACTTAATTTCCCTTGAATTAATAATTAGGAGTTATTAGTTATCACTTATCAGTTTTGGAAGCAACATCAGTAAGATGGCCATGGCCCATTACAATTGCTTGATAGATAATAGAAATCTATCGGGCCTTAATGGACTTCTAGAATCTGGGCTCTGGTAAACCGGGGCACCATGCCAGTATGCCACTCTAAACGGAATTAATGATCAGAAGGCAAACGAACGACAAAATCCCCAATTTTCATCAACGTTCAAGCTTATGGAGCAAATGCACGACTCTCAGAAAACTCAGACAAATCCATGCGTACATGGTCGTCAATGGCTTCAACACGAGTAAATTTAACCTCAGAGAACTTATTTACGTCTCTGCTTTGGTTATTCCTTCCGGCATTAGTTATGCACACCAACTGTTCGATCATATCACCCAACCAGACCGGTTCATGCGGAACACCATGCTTAGAGGATCAGCTCAAAGCCCCAACCCTGCGAACACCGTTTCTCTGTTCACCCAGATGGAAAGACGCGGCATTGAGCCTGATCGTTACACGTTTCCGTTTGTCCTCAAGGCCTGCACAAAGCTTTCTTGGTCTATTCTGGGATGTGCTGTTCATGGAAAGATTACGAAACATGGATTTGACGAGAATACATTTGCGAAGAACACACTCATCTATTTTCATGCCAATGTCGGAGAAATAGAGATCGCTAGTGCCTTATTTGATTCTTCTGCTACCAAACAAGTTGTTGCGTGGTCAACTTTGACTGCCGGGTACACAAGGAGAGGAAACTTGGGTATGGCAAGGAAGGTGTTCGACGAAATGCCTGAGAAAGATTTGATTTCTTGGAACGTGATGATTACAGCGTATGCAAAGATGAGACAGATGGAAAGCGCCAAGGCGTTATTCACTCAGGTACCAAATCCAGATATCGTGACATGGAATGCCATGATAGCAGGCTACGTAACCTCTGGTATGCACACACATGCACTCCAGATGTTCGATGAAATGACACGTGTAGGTGAACAACCCGATGAGGTAACAATGTTGACCCTTGTCACAGCCTGCACAGACTCAGGCGACTTAGACATTGGTGAGAAGATCCATCGTTCTGTTTTATCCTTAGGTGGAGGGAAATTAAGCATTTTACTTGGTAACGCACTTATAGACATGTATGCTAAATGTGGTGAAATTGATAAAGCATTCAAGATTTTCAACAACATGAAGGAAAAAGTTTTAACAACATGGAACTCCATAATCGGAGGCTTAGCTTTCCATGGTGACTCAGAGGAAGCCATTAATGTATTCAAAAGGATGCGTAAAATCAAGATAACCCCAAATGAGATCACCTTTGTTGGGGTGTTAGTTGCTAATGTAGCCATGCGGGTAGGGTTCAAGAAGGTCAAGAATTTTTCAATCTTATGAAAAAAGAATACAAAATTAAGCCAAACATAAGGCATTATGGATGCATTGTTGATCTTTTTGGACGTGCAGAGTTGTTAAATGAAGCTTTTGAGTTTATAGATCAAATGGAGATTGAGCCGAATGATATTATTTGGAGGACTTTGCTTGGGGCTTGTAGAGTTCATAATCATGTTGAATTGGGTAAGCTTGCAAATGAGAAGTTATTGAAATTGAGAAAAGGTGAAAGTGGTGATTATGTTTTGTTATCGAATATATATGCTTCACAAGGTGAGTGGGGTGGAGCTGAGAAGTTGAGAAAGGTGATGGATGATAAAGGAGTGAGGAAAGAGGCTGCAAGTAGTTTAGTTGATACGGATGAAAGGATGCTCATGCGTTTCTTATTTGACTCAAAACCTCAAATGGAAGTCGATAAGTTTAAGACAAAAGTTCATATGAAATCTTTTGATGTGAAGTAGTTTTGTTCCATGATATACAATTTTGGTTCTTTGGTTAATACAATGTGGATTGTTACGCCCTATTTCATGGAAATGTTTATTATTGTGAAGGAAATGCAATCATATATCCTAAGAAAGTTTTTATGTAAGGTTGTAAGTAACATCCCTTGTATGGCCATTTTGAAATAGTTTTTACGAATTTTTTTAAATATTAAAACAACTTAAGTAATAACAAAACTCCCAATTTTCGTAACACTTTTAGAACTAAAACGGTGTTTAAAGTCAAAACATGAGGGATGTTCCAAATCAAATCGAACACTATAATAAAGTTTAAACTATTTCTAGCCTAACACATCAGCGACATCATCAAGTCTCACTAATCCTTGCTTCTCTTGCAAATACTACATAATTTCCCTATTTGAATTGCATGTCAAAATAGAGCACAATCCCCCGCTTGAGTTGCATGTCAAAAGAGAATGATTTTGGTACATTTAGTCACTTTTTTTTTTTTTTTTTTTTTTTTTTTTTTTTTTTTTAGATTTTGCATTAAACTCACCCTGAGTTATTCAAAATCTATTATTTTGACTGAGTATTGCATGATAATGTTTCCTTTGTGTACACGATTTACCATTAAACTATGCCGTGACCATCTTCTCTAGCCATCGTCCACCTCTACCCCCACCTCCACCGCCACCATCCACCTTCGGCAACAAACACCGCCTTCCATAATCACCGTTCACCAACCAAAACCACCCATCTCCACTATTCGCCACCACCACCATCAAGCAACTAATCTACATTTAAATATCTAGGTGTAGATTAGTATTTATAAAAAAAAATTTAGAGGGTGTTTGGCTTTCCTTTTAATTCGACTTTTGGACTTTTAACTTTTCAAAAAAGTTAAAAAAATCCAAAAGATATTTGGCAAAATAAAAAAGTTTTTTTAAATCAACTTTTTGCCATGAATAAAAAGTAGCTTCTTCAAAAGTCATAAAATCCCATTTTTCCTAGCTGTTGGCTTTTAACTCTTAAAAGTCATAAAAGTCAAGCCAAACACATTTTAAATGTCTCCTTATAAAAAAAATTCATTTTTATAAAAGGACTTTTAAGTTAAAAAAGGAATCCCAAACACACCTTTAATAAACACAACTACTTTTTATTTCATACATATTCAATTTGTTAAAGTCCAGTGAAAGCCATATAATTGTTATTTTTTACTTCCCCTTTCTTAAACCCCTTCACTTCACAAAGAATGTAATCTAAACACACTCTTATAGTTGTTGTGAACGACATATCTGTTGTTGTTCGGTGAACACACACCGCATAATGTTGAATAAAACCTCTTGAATTCTTATGTTCATCTGGATGCCAACCGAATTTGAGCATGGTAGTTAAACAAAATTCCTCATATTCAAACAATACGTCTTACTCATCAAATAGAAATCACACACACTGTTAGGCGATTAATAGAACATATGGTTAGACCTCGTGTAACATATACCCGTGACATAGTAGGGAATCCCACAACCATAGGTATGTCGGCCCAATATATAAAGGCCATGGATTCAAAGAACAACATTCATCTTTCGCGTTGGTATTGATATGTAAGTTTTGATATTTGTCTTCATGTTATATTAAAAAAAATAAATTGTTAAAATGACATAACACTCATAAAAATATATTTTCATAGATGGGTCTCACATTTTCGCAAATTCAATCTGCAAAATTGTTGGATTATCATAATTTCTTAGACATAGCTAACATTTTTGCAGATATCGCTAACATTTTTGCAGATATCATCTGCAAAAAAGTTAGTTATATGGGAAAAAAATGTTGTTTTACATACATGTCATGGGTTATGAGCACTACAACAATCCTATGGTGCACATGCAACCCTAATGCTTTGGATCTAGGTTTTCTCAAATTATGCATGCAATATTAAATTATCCAAAGCATAAACCCAAACTAGCATATAATTTTCGAGAATTACAACATAAAACAAGTTAGATGAATACCTCTTTGTTGTAGCTTGTTATTCTTGACCTTCAAGAGCTTAGTAGCTCAAATGCGATACCTATAATAACTCACAAACACCAAGAACAATGGAGGATTATGAGAGAGAGGCTAGGAGGCACAAAAAAGCGGCTAGGGTTTCTTCCTTAGAAGCATTTGTTGATTTTGGGAGTGCTAAGGGTTCTATTTATAGTGTAGGATCCTTAGGGTTTTAACTAGGAAAACCTAATTCACTTGCTTAGGCCTTAAGCAATCCAATAACCCTTGTGATAGGCCCTTGGGCGAAATCTTCATGGACCCTCACATAGATTTCGTCCAACTCCAATCAATATGAATCATTAGCCCAAACTATAAGTATTACTGATTTACTTAATCAGTCCCCTTTAATTTAATCAGTCTCTTTTGATCACTAAATTAATTCCAAATTAATTCTTGATCAATAGTAATTAAATAATATGATTTCTCAATTAATATATTATTCTTATAATATATTAATAAATCACAATTAACCTCTTTCTCAAATATTCATCCTATCAAATTGTTGTGGTAAAGGCAACCCAAAAGGATCATGTTACTATCGGGTCAAGTACATACCAATTATAGTTATGGGCTTAGACACCTAATCCAACAGTCTCCCACTTGGATAAGTCTAATAACTATAACTGCCAATGCAACTTCAAAATCCAATTAGCAATCATAGATCTCAAAATCCATTGTCGAACTCTGAGCTAGTCAATGACGCGTCCTTTAGATAAGGGATCATATAATCCTCTGCTCTTCAAGATATCGTGTGGACAAAGACATGGAATGGAGTCATACTCATTGTCCAACTGTTTGTTTCCCGATTGCTGATTTGTTTGACATAGAACTTAATTAAACACATCAATTCAGTCCTGACCGGGCCCGACACATATGTCAACACAAAATCATTGAGGGGCCCAAGATATCACTTTTAGTCCTTGTAGGATAAAAGGAACAAATAAACTTCGACTTATATGCTTGTACTAATTACTTGTTAAATTATACACAAAAATCCGTTTTATAAGATCAAGTTACTGATGCGTTTTCGTACTATCAATGTACAACCAACTCGTAATCAACAACTCATATATCTTGGTTTGAAGATCATACAATATTATCGTCTCACAATCACTCGTGATAAATTCCATGAAGTGATTCATGTGAGCGTGGGTTTAATCCAATACTCAAATCTTATTTCAGGAGCACTCATAAACGTTGAAGCAAAATTTTGCTATGTCTAAACACCTTAGACAATCTATAAGCCAATTCATGATAGTCTTGCCTCACTACCTACTTCCAAGGTATGATCGACTGTGGATAATTTGAACAATCTTATTATTTTGGAAGTCAAAACATGCAAAATGAAACAATAGTAAACAATTGACACAAGATAGTAACTTTACTCATAAATAAAACTCATTTATTTAATCATCAAATGTCAATTACATTTTATCTATTACAAGTTTCTAAATAGCTATCTAATCACTAAAACTAGTATCGTCCTTCAGCCCAATACTCCTAGCATGCTGCAAGTGTTTAACCCTACTCAGTCCCCTCGTAAGGGGATCTGATGGGTTCTCCTCTGACGATACCCTCTTCACTACGAGGAGTCCTTCTTCTACCCGATGTCTAATGAAGTGATATTTCCTGTCGATATGTCTGGATCTACCATGATCCCTCGGTTCCTTGGTTAAGGCAACCGCACCCTCGTTATCACAGAAAATCTCCATAGGTTCTTTTATTGTAGGTACAACTCCAAGGTCTCCAATGAAGTTCTTTAGCTATATTGCCTCCTTCAATGCTTCGCTTGCTGCTATGTACTCTGATTCGCACGTTGAATCAGCCACAGTCTCCTGCTTGGAACTTTTCCATGTTACTGCTCCTCCATTAAGGATAAATACCCAGCCTGACTGAGAGCGGTAATTAACTCAGCCAGTCTGAAAGTTGGCGTCACTATACCGTGTCACTCTCAAGTCATCACTCCCACCAAGGGTAAGGACTCTGTCCTTAGTCCTTCGTAAGTACTTAAGAATGTTCTTTACTGCAATCCAATGAGCTCTTCCAGTGTTCCCTTGATATCGACTAACCATGCTCAAGGAAAAAGCCACATCAGGGCGAGTACACATCATTGCATACATGATCGAGCCAACGGCGGAAGCATAAGGTACTCGACTCATTTATGCTATCTCAGCATCGGTACTTGGATTCTAAGTCTTACTCAGTTTGCTATTGCTCTAGATAGGCAATTCTCCTTTCTGGGAATTTTCCATGTTGAAACGTTTCAACACCTTGTCCAAGTAGATACTTTGACTAAGTCCTATTAGTCTTTTACTCCTATTTCTCAAAATCCTTATTCACAAAATATAAGCAGCTTCTCCGAGGTCCTTCATAGCGAAGCACTTCCCTAGCCAGGACTTAACCTCCTATAGGTTTGGGACGTCGTTTTCTATGAGCAGTATGTCATCCACATACAATACGAGGAAGCTAACTATACTCCCACTAGCTTTGACATATACACAAGACTCATCCTCGCTTCTCGAAAAACCAAACTCTTTGACTTTCTCACCGAAACAAAGATTCCATGTGCGAGATACTTGTTTTAATCCGTAGATGGATTTCTCAAGCTTGCATACTCTATTCGGGTACTTTTCATCCACAAAACCCTTTGGATGATTCATGTAAACATCCTCAACCAACTTTCCATTAAGGAAAGCAGTTTTGATGTCCATCTTCCATATTTCATAATCATGAAATGCAGCTATAGCCAACATAACCCTTATAGATTTGATTTTGGCCACTTGTGAGAAGGTCTCATCATAGTCAACCCCATGGATTTGAGTAAAGCCCTTCACTCACTAAAAGGTTCAAGTTTTTCGTGAGTCTCTCGTCTTACAAAAGCCTCGCAACCCCAAACCTTGATATGTGCCAAGGAGGGAACCTTCCATGTCCACATCTCATGAGGTGTTTTGGCAACCTTCTTAGTTAGG